TAAATAAATACCGATCAGCTTTATGTTCAGAGACAATAGGAGCCGTTGGCTTAAATTTGCAGTTTACTGTATTTATGGCTGTAATATCAAGGTGCTGCCGTCGTAATTTCATGCCCCAATGAGAAGAGCAAGGTCGAAGCAAATGCTTCCATCGGCATCTGCTAACACACTAACTCATAAACAAGGCCCGGCTGGATCAGGTGGCACGGAATAATACAGGCTAATGAAATACAGCACAGCTTTCCATTACTGTTAGTTTTTACAGTGTCGTCATTACGTGTAATTTATGTTTAAAAAATTCAATTTTATACAAGGCACTGGGAAATAGGGGTCTACAGGTCATCCAACGACTTTTAGAGGCTCTGAGAGTCCTTATTGTACTCCACTGTTCCAACGAAATGTTAATAAAATAAAATAAAAAGACTTTTTTTCTCTTTCCCCTCCCCTAACCTTTTCTGAGAGAGTTGATTTTTCTTTTAATTTGGGGAGTATTTTTAGCCGCTGTCTTCTCTGCCTCATCTCCTCCCAGAGTGTGCCCGGGCAGATCACGCGAGTGCTGAGAGAGGTGACCCCAGATGAATTGCCCGAGCCTGGAAACAGAGGCACCGTGACGGGGAGGCCGAAGCCCAAGCGGCCAGTCACCGCCACTGCTTGCCGCTGGCCCCCGGGCCTGCCCCTCGCCCAGGCAGGCGTTTCTGTTCCGAAACCGAGGCAGCGCTGCAGGGTGCTGGGTTCGTCGCCTTGCGTATTCCAGGCTGTCCCGCGCCTCCCGGCCGTCAGACCCGAGACGCCGTCATCTGCCTTTCTGCTTTACCTGCGCTGGGCCCGGCCGGGTGGCGGAGCCCAGTGGTCACCAGGGACAGCATGGCGGTGGCTCACTCTGAGGAGCACATGCACATCCGTCCCACTGAAGGGGGCCAGCCCTGCCCACAAGCCAGTGGTCAGCCCTGCCCACAGGGCTTCGAGTCCTGGGGAGGCCCAGGGCCTGGCGCTCTAGGCCCTCAGGCTGCAAGGTCAGGAAGCCTATAGTTTGGTTTGTTTGCATTTTAGCAGAAACCTTTAAAGAAAAGAAGACAAGTCTGCTTATCTCCTAGGGGGTAAAAATAAGCAGGTGTGGCGGAGAGGGTCCTTCAGCCGCGCAGAAACAGGCTGTGTTAATCAGTAGCCGCCTTGTTCCGGGCTGTTGAAAAGAACTCTCCGTCCAGCCTCTAACAGGGACGGCACCAGCTCCTTGGGAAAGGGAGCCGTCCTTGATGTAGATCCCGGGACCTTGGAGAGCAAGCTGCCCTGGTTCGGGTGCTGGGGTAGGGCCCTCACCGCAGAGTCGGGTCTGAATGCGAGTGCCCGTCCCCCGCTGGCCTTGGGCAGTGTCCGCTTCCCCTCCACCCCCCCAAGGCTAGTGTGGATGGCCTGTCTCAGTTTTGCTGTGTACCAAGGATGTATTTTAATTGTCAGTGTCACAGATTGGGGGTGGGCGGGAGGGGGCCTAAAGGGACTCTAAGAGTAGGGAAGTGGCAGAGATGAAGTTAATGACAAAGATGCCTTCAGTACCTGGTGCCAGTGTTTCCGATAATGCAGGTGGCACCCAACCCAAAGGCGATTCTCGGCTTTGAGGAGAGTAGCGCGTTCTTCCAGAGGCTGCAGCCGAAGGAAGACTGGAGATGGGGGGTGGGGAGGGCTTCCGCCCAGGACGGTGACACCCTTGCTTCCATCTCAGCCCTGCTCAGTCCCTCTGCGGTTAGATTACTTCTTGCAGATAGCAATCAACTGGAAGGAAGTGTGTGTGTCTAATTTGCATGAGATTATTTAAAACAAAAAAAAAGGTCTGCATTAGTCAGGGTGATGGTAAACAACGCAAAGAGATGCCTTTTATAATATAGCCTGTGCCTCAGCTTTCAGAGCCAAATATAATTCACTTACAATTGGCAGTTTCCTTTATTATTCCTTTTAACCTTTTGGATTCTGCAAGGTCTGTCGAAGCTCTCCACCGTTGCTCTCTGCCGGGGTGGGTGGGACCTGTCTCCTGTGTCTGGTCTGTCTTGTGTGTGGGTCCGGTGACAGCACCTCATCCCCAGAGCAGGTCCTTTCAGTACCAGGACCGTGACTGGTAGAAAACTGAGATAAGGACCCCCCGCCGTCCCCAGTGAATCCCCCATGGATCACCAGAGCCCTGAAACCTGGTTGGTCGTCCCTAAGCTGCGGACACCCCAGAGGAAGGGGATACTGGCACAGACACACCAGTCGGGAGAGGCTGGCGAGTTTAGCCGGGGCTAGAATATTAGAATGAGACAGTCGGCCACTGCTCTTGTCCCTCCGCCGGTCTCAGGGGGGCCCGGGAGGACCAGGCTCGGCCTCTGGCGGTGTTTGGTGTACCCCAAACAGCACTCCATGCCTCTCACCTCTGGGCGGGGAGGACAACTTAAGCTGGAGACTTAAGATGTAATCTCATCACCTCCATTTGATGTCACTGCTAGCGGGGAGCCTCCGGGTGGGGGTGCAGGGCCCGGGGTCGCCAGCAGCAGCACGGGCCAACTGGCGAGGGGGCATAGTTTTCACCCCGTTGCGCCTCCGTTTTAAGATCTGTTACGGGGAGGGGGGCAGTGACTGGGGTAATGGGCTAGCTCTGAAATCACATTATCAGGGAGATCGTTAAAATGCTTACTTTTCTCTTTAAAAGAATGATTCATTTTCTGTAACTAACTCTCTGGAGAACTAGGGATATCAGAATTCCAGCAAGGTAAATCTAGAGCATCACACTGATAAGGTCTCTGACAAACAGGAGCGTGGAAGGAAGTGCTCGTGCCCTCTCCGCCGCAGCCTCACTGGAGGGCCCGGCTGCAGCAGTGCACGGAGCGAGTTTTATTAGGAGAAGGGGCCTCGCAGCAGCACGGGGCGGAGGGCAGGACGCGGGCAGCGCGTCCTGTCCCTTTAACCAGCCCGGCTTCGGGGCTGGGCACAGCCTGTAACTTACTGTATATTTCCCCAGCGTTAAACATTATCATACTTGTTTATATTTGAAAGAGCCAAAAGGGAAAATGAGAATGCAACTGAATGCTCCTTTTGGGAAAATTATCCTCATTTGCAGCCAGCGGCTGACACGGCACACGAGCCACCAGGCTTATGGACCCGCGTGCGGCGTGTCCCGCGCCCGTGCTGAGGTCACAGGTGCCCACTCCCTTCCCCAGGGCTGCTGGCTGGCAGCTGGGTGGGGCGCGTCTTCCCGCCAGAGCCCTGCAAGGGGGCCCCTTCTGTTTAGGAGGAGAGGCCGGTCGCTACCCAGGCTGCAGCCCGGAGGCACGGGCTCCTTGAGGACACGTCCGGCTTGTCTGTCTGTCCTGCTGCACCTCCTCTCAGGGCATGAAATTCCAGTTTTGCTAAACCCCGGGGAACTCGGGCAGGGGAGCACCTCTTGTAGCCCTGTATACCCAAATCTGGCTTCTGCAGTTGAACAGACAACCAGCAGCTGATCTTTCTGCTGAGAGCGGGGTGCCTCAGGCCCCGACTCGGTGAGGTGTGGCCTTGCCCTCCACCTGCCCCACTGTGAGCAGAGCGCAGCGGGGCGGGAGACAGGAGCGCAGCTGCTGGGCGCAGGGAGGAGGAATGGCCGGGCAGCTCCCAGTCATTCAAGTACCCGCCCTTGACCGCTTGCGGCAGGATGTGAAAAGTTGGGGGGCTGACGGCAGCCAACTGGCGAGCAGCACGGTGCGGGCAGCCTGTGCTCCAGCGCATTAATGTGCTCCCGCTATTAGCCCCTTGGCACAGAGCGCGAGGCCCCACGCTTTGGAAGATGCTGATCCTCAGAACCTCCTCATGCTTCATCCACCCCCAGGGGCAGATAGACCGGGCTGTGGGCCTCTAATGGAGAGCTGCCGGCCAGATGTGGGAAAGCTCTCGGCGAGTTTAAAAGCTCTGTGTTGCGGCTGGGCTGGATATTGGGATTCCCGGAACAGCCTGGCTGGCCGAGTGGGCCTGTGCCGGCTAGCGCTGACCTCCCACCTGCTTTTCCCGGCCTGAGCAGCCGGACACGTGTGCACGCGCACTGGCTTCCTGAGGCGGGCCCCTGGGAGAGCCTCTCGCACGGCGCCACGCGTCTTCCCTGGGCTTTGGGGTGCCCTGTTTCTCTTCCTGCCGAGCCTGCTCCCCAGCCCACCTCAGGCCCGTTGGAAGTGCTCCAGCTGTGACCCCGCTGGAAGCGTGGTCTTCACGGGGCCTGCACTTGGCTTTTATTCCCCTGTGGGCAAATCCTCCGCACATGTTACGGCCACCGCAGATGGCGCCCTGCTATTTCCTGATGTCCCGTGTGCAGTGCGGTTTCGGGTGTCGGGAGGATTTATAAAAAGGGAAAAAGAGAAACTCGCCACGGGCGATGCAGGCGGCCGACGATAGGCTGGAGCAATAACCATCTGAGAGTTTGGGTCTGGCCTTGTTTTGATCTGTTTTCTTGTTTTATTTTCTTCTTTACATTCTGTATCCCATTCATACTAATCACAGTCAGTCCTGATTTTTCTTTTTATTTCTGCATTTGTCATAAAATAAAGCAAATTATTCCCGTCTTCAGAAACGATCTAGACTAATTAGTCGTCTCACCCAATAATTAGTTTTTTGTTTCCCTGTCTGTTTTCATGCATTATTGTTAGTTTTTTCCCCTCTTTTTTTTAACACCATTACAGATTAAAATGAGCCACATTTGCAGTTGATGGTATCTGTTTTCGGGGGAAGAATGGAGAATTGCAGTACGGAGCGACTTCAAAAGCAGCAATAAACTCAAGGATAAATTAAGGAAATTGAATGAGCCACATTTGGAAGCAGTGTTGAGGCTAATATTCTGTCGCTTAAGGTTAAATTGCAACTGAGAGAGGTTCTGGAGAATCCGAAATCGAGCAGGCGACTTAGCAGGATGCCAGGCGTCCTGTGGCTGAGGGTCTCTCCTCAGTGACGCGCTCGTTGCCGCCGTGGGCAGTGACAGGCACTCACCTGCTCGTGTGTCCTCTTCCCCCTAGGACTGACGGATGAAGAGGTCGAGCTGGCTTTCCAGCAGTCGGGCACGGCCGCCGAGGAGCCCCCGCCCTTGGGCCCGGCCGCTCAGGCGGTTCCCGCGCAGCCTCCCCACCTCGTGGCCCAGCCGCACAGTAAGTCTCCCGCGCGCCTCGCCAGCGATGGGGGCTGCACAGGAGCAGCGCCTCGCACCGCCCGGCGGCCCTCCCCAGAGGCAGGCTGTTGGAGACGCTGGGATTTCCAGAAGAGTGGACACACCCCCGCCCTCCTCCAGACGGACCTCTAAGTGTGCGACAGGGGTGTCAGGAGAGACAAAGGGAGAGGGCACTTATCGTGCCCTCCAAGTGCTTCGGTGCAGGCAAGGATCTGGAAACGCACCGGCTGGTGCTGTTTCCTGTTCCGTGCGTGGCCGGTGTCTGAGCCTCTAGTGAGGGCAGGAGTGCCCCGCCCGGCTCCTCTGCTCACTGGAAGTGTGCCTCCTGCTCTTCCTGGTTAAGCAGAGTGAGTTGGCCGTGCCCAGCCCCCTGCCACGTCCTGGCTATACCATGTATGTTTACACAGTGGCAGACACCCTGACACTTTCAAATGTAAAGGTCCTTTAAATTATGAGACAGGAACACGGCTCACGCAGGGGTTTGTTGTCTTTTAAACAGAAGCTTCTAGGAGTTAAGGCGCTTCAAACTGGGAGTAAATGTCCACCTCCGAATGGCAGCAGAATCCCTCCGTTAAGTCACTTGTGAAAAGATCTTAAAAGGTTAAAACCGACTCCACTGCTGTGGAAAGAGCTCCGTTTCGCTTCTTTAATGCGCCTCAACCTTGGCGTTGTCTTTCAAGACGCCTCTTTTATAATCGTCCTCATTTTACTTGTCTATCTCAGAAGTTTTGTTTTTTTTCAAAACATGATTTAAAACAGTGTTACAGATCAGATTTTAAAAACTGGAATTAGCAAAAGGAAAAAAGGAGGTAATTCACCGGGAAGCCAGGCCCCTCCGGCCCCACACCTGCCCGCTTCCTGCTCCGCAGGGAACTGCTGTGGCACCAACCTGCTTGGTGCGCGCGGGCCGCGTTAAGGTATCTCCTCGCTCCTGCTTTTGGATGGGGCGGACAGGTGAGGCCAGGTGAGGCCAGGTGGTGCTGCCGATTTCCTCCGTGGCTGCCTCGTCGGGTGTGCGCGGCCCCTGAGGCGACAAGCAGCGAGGCGCATTTCGCCCGCACGCCCCTGCGCCCTCCCGGCCAGCGACCCCTCAGCGCCATCGTGTGTGCTCTGGGTCACTACACATACGTGCCCTGTTTGTTCTTACGCACAGACTCAGTTTCCACACTTTCTCTTCGGCACCTCCCGGGGCCCAGCCGCTTAGTGGGATTTGTTGAGGACAGGCAGCAGCAGCTGGGGTGGAGTTTTCTAACATGCACATCTGTTTTGTTCCAGCTGTTTCCTCCCATGGCTTAATATCAAACAGGTCTCTCGGCTACTCGGAAACTTCTTGCTCAGGACAAATTGTTGTAGCTGGCCAGAATCAACAGGCTGGCCTGTTTTCAGGGGCTTAGAGGGTTAAACACTGCCTTTCTGGAAGCGCAAAATAATGGTGTGGGGAGGGGCCGTCCAGTCCTTTCCGTCATTCCCTTCTCCAGGTCTGAGAAAAAAGCATTGCACATTGAGATATTTAGGTAGGAGCAACTTTAAGAGTCTGCGAGCCCTAAAAATGAAGTGCATCCTCTTAGAGACGTCGCAAGGGCTGCTTTAAATGCCTGGGGCTTTGCTGTCCCTAGCGAACCTTGTCCTCCTTGTCCTGTAACACCGTTCCCTTCAGCTCGGGGGGTGACTCTGCCTCTTCACTTCTGTGCTTTTGCCAAGAGGTGTCAAAACTGCTCCAAAAAAAAAAAAAAAAGCTTGATTTTGATTAATATAGAGAAACAAGACTTTGCCTGACTGATAATAAAACTGATAAATGACATTTGAATTACTTGTAGCGGTAATTTATTACATAAAATATCTTTTATTTGACATGCGATTAGTTGCTGGAAGCATCACTCAATCTGACTAGTTTAAACATGCTCTAAAATGAACCCCAGTAAAACCAGGGCTGTCTGTTGCTGGCGTTATGAAATATACGAATTCTGGAGTGAGGAAAAATCTGACTTTAAATACTTAAATGATTAATTGGGTTTATATATATATTTTTTTACCTTTCTAACCCCCTTAATTACAAGCAAACTCAGGGGAGTTTCTGAACTAGGTGTGCAATCTGCATGCTTATCACCGAGGCATTGTCTGCGTCCTGGGAGCGATTTATGGCCTCCTCCGCGCGCCTGTGGTTTACATCTGGAGCCGGGCAGCCCCCTTGCTTCCCAGTGCTCGACTTTCTGAGGGCATCTGTCTCTGCGCCCCGCCCGAGAGAGTAGGCTTTTCTGGGCTCAGCTCTGCGTGCCTGTGTCTCAAGGAGGGGCGGCCTCGAGACCAGCTGGGGCGCCCAGGTCACCCTGGGACTCGCCAGCCTCCTCTTAGAAGGCAGGTGGCCCGCTGGGCCCCCTTTCAGTAGCTCTGCTCCTAGGGAAATGTGGTTGACCTTGAGGTATCATCAATGCCGCGTCAGCAAGGAGAACGCAGACCTACCGTCCCCGCCCAGCCAGCTCGCCGTGTTTCCTGAGCACCTACTGTGTGCTCCATGCAGTATCGCAAAAGATTCAAAACACGAACCCTGAGAATCATACGGGCTCTCTGGGGGAGATAAGATAAACTCTTAAGAAAAAAGATAGTATAAGACACGATTTAATGTCAAAATTAATTATGCAGATAGGAAATTCTACAAGAACACAGAAAAGAGAAAAACGAATGTGGGCTCGAGAAGTCGTCAGGGAGGCTTTGTGGAAGTGTGAGAGGCTGACACGCAGGAAAGCTGGGTGTCATCCGGTGTGAGAAGAAACCTGTGTTCTCAGGGCTGAAAAGGAGGTTGGTGGAGCCCAGGAAAAGTCAGACCGGAGTTTGGGAGGAGATGTGGCACTCTTCTCTCCTTCGGGTTTCTTTTTGTTCGACCCCACGTCAGGAATCAGTGTGTGTCTTAGCCCAGTCCTGACAGAGTTCTGATTGCTTGTTCAGTTGATTCGTTCCAAGCTGACTTCCCGCCTTTCCTCTCAGGGAGACAAGAAGCAAGGGATCTTTGAGGTATAGGCAGGGCAAGTGTGACTCCTGTCAGATCATCATTTCTTCTTAGGCTTAAATACCCCTCCCCATCGTCCTTGATAAACAGCATAACCCTGTCAGGGCTGACCTGTGCCCTCAGTCGCCTCTTCTTAAACTCGGATGTAAATGTCTGAGGTTGGTGAAAGGCTTTGGTGTCTGACTTGAAGTCCTGAGAGGAGGAGTGGTCCTTCAGTCCCCTCCTTAGTCAGTCCTCTTCAGTGATTCATTCTCAGCCTTGGCGCCCTCATCCCGGGCTCGCCCCTGTCTCCTGCTGCCACCCGGGCCCTGCCTGGAGCCCAGGATTAACTGATGAGCAGAGTGAGCATTGCTCCCTCCACGCTCCTGTCTGGCGGGAGCATCTGTTCAGCCAGTCCCTGGGCTGCCAGTGAGGCAGCCCAGGTGGGGACAATGCAGGGGGACGGGAAGGGCCCCTGCAGGGAGCAGGAGACGCCCAGCTGCACCTGGGGGTGACTGGTCAACTGCCAGGATGGCCAAGAACATTCTGGCCAAGGCACGGGCATGCACGGGGAGCTGGTGAGGCTCAGGCTGCTGCTGGAGCTCAGGCCAGCGCTGTTGGAAGGGGCGACCAAGAGCGGGGCGCAGGCAGGGCCCCGCCCTGACAGGGGTGGGGAGGATGGGCAGTCAAAGGCATGTCGATTTTTGTTCTTTGAAATGCACCATTTAGCGTTTTTGAGGCTGCATTACCTATTGGACTACATTTTTCTGAGACCAACCTCTAAATCCTTTGTACCGTCTCAACAAATGCTGTGTGGGATTGGGCAGGTGCCCTGGGAGTGCCCCAGATAAGGCCACTGTCCCGCTGTGAGCATCACGCCCTCTGTGCCGCGGCTCCCTGGTCAGCGCCGGGCTGCCCCCCATTCTTGCAGGGTGGACATTGCCTTGGCTTGCGCAGGCCCTTGCCCCCACGCCCTGCACTTGAGTGTGTGTTGTGTCTTCTCTGTTGAACTGTGTTCTTTGAACCAGAGACTGTAAAAAAGAAGAAAAAAAGAAAATCTTTGACCTGAGGCCTGACTTGGCAGGCTTCCAGAAATGCTTGTTGATGGATAAGTGGTGGTGGGATGAGCTCGAGACCCCAAGGCGACCATCTCGGGGGTCTTCCCCGATCACGGGGCCTTCCCCACTGTGTGTTCAGCCGTGTCCACTCTGAAAGTGGAGGACAAACCTGGTCTGCAGGAGGTTCAGTGTCAGGACAGCTCGGTGCTGGGGAGGTACAGAGAAGACCAGCCTGACCATCTTGGACAGTGAATGGCGAGAACTTTCAAAATTTGCCAGAGGAAACTAGCCCCAAGGTGCTAGTTTTGGGCAAGATGGTGTGGAGGAGGCAGGGCCTGGCTGACTGGGTGGCGAGGTGAGGAGCCTCCAGAGAGCCTGACTGGAAGTGAGAGCTGTGTGCTCTCCAGGAAGGAAGCGGGACCTCTCTTTCCCATTTCTCTCTTTGCTGTTTGGAGCAGATTGCACTTTTCACTACTTTTTGTGACTGTGAAGGAAACATCTCTTATTTTGAGGAAACTGTTTTTCTCCTGGGTGTGTGTGCCAGGCATGCCTCATGCACATCAGGGCGCAGGTGTTCGGGTAGGGAGCGTGGAAAAGCCCTTACCTTAGGTTTCCAGCCTGACGAAGGCCCCAGAGTTGGCGGGGGACAGGATGCTGGTTGTGCGGGTGGTGCAGCTGGTGGTGGTTTTGTAAGACAAGTAACAGAAAAAGCCAGAATAAGAGTAGCTGACACCCACAGTCTCCCTCTGTTGTGTAGCCCTCGGCAGCCTGGGCCACGTCCATGGGTGACCTGCAGCTTCAGGGACCCAGCGCCAGCCTCGGTCTTGAGCGCCAGCTCCAACCTGCAGGACGGGGGGCGGAACGGGAAGTGCGGCCAGCTCCAGGGGTTACTGGAAGTCACCTGCCACTCCCACACCTGGGGCTGCGGCCTCATGGTGT